AATGAAATTTATAACATATATGCTATGGACTCTTCAAAGTGTAACAAACCGCAAGTTTTAGGACAGCTAAATTTAATCATATTTTGCAACCATTTTTAGCTTAGTACATGCAGTAATTTTGACTAAAAATCATGACCATCAAATTTAAATGGTAATAAAATATTTATTTCTTAAAATATTTTTTATCCCGCGGTTTGTGACACTTAAGAGGGATCAAGAAGTATATCAATGACGTTAAAATTGCATAATGTGCCATTTATTTTTATTTATCACGTTTTTCTTAACTTAAAAAATGTTGCTAAATTTTCCTAAAAATAATTTTTTTTCAAAAAAAAAGGGCGATACATGTTAGTTATTTAATAATTATGACTTTTTAAGCCTATTTATGTTCTTTAAAACAATAAAATTATCCAGAAAATCAATTTTTGAAAAATTTATCTCCGAACATATTCGGATACCTTAAGTGGTAATTAATTTTTATTAATTATCATCAAAGTATTGTATTGTCATCCAAAACAATCGTGTATATAAAACTTCATTTCAACTGAATGCTTTAAAACGTGAGAAAAAAAAACTTTTCAAGTTTTGACACAAGTCGCCAAAAGGGTTGCTAAGTCGCCAAAAATGATGCCAACGTGGCTGTATTTGTATTTCTTTAAATAATTAGTTTTAATCAATTAATTTTTATTAATTATGATTAAAAATTATTGTATTGTCATCCAAAATAATCATATATATAAAATTTCAGCTCAAATGAGCGCTTTAAAATGTGACAAAAAACCTTTTTCAAGTTTTGACCTAAATCGCCAAAATGGTCACCAAAAATTATGCCAACGTGGTTGTATTTGTAATTCCTTGAATAATTAGTTTTAATCAATTAATTTTTATTAATTATAATTATATTACTGTATTGTCATCCAAAATAATTATGTAAATAAAATTTCAGCTCAATTGAGCGCTTTAAAATGTACCTTATTAACAATTGAAAATTCCACCAAGATAAATAAATATATAGAGAGAGTGAGCTAATACAAGGAATTGAAAAAGAGTTTATAAAATTTCCGTAATAAATCCTTTTGAATACTTGCTTGTACTCTTGCTCTTCCTGAGATGGCTGAGTATATCTGATTTATTAAGGCTTTATTACAGTAAAAAGAGTTTTTTAAACATTCTCTACTAAGATATCCCTGTTTCTTTTTTCCTGATTTTCTTTATTACCCATGAGTCGATTTCTTGAATTTAGAACAAAACTTCTATACTTTGTTAAGCACTGATATAACAGAAACACATGAGTAGAAATGCCATTCGAGATCTTCACTCTTTTAATCAAGGGCGTAGCTACCGCCGTATCAGCTGTATCAATGATACGGGGCCCTCAGAATGTGCAAAAAAAACTGTAAAATGTTGAGAGACCACCAAAAAAGGCGTCCAAGGAATTTTGATATGGGGCCCACTCAGGACAAGCTACGCCAGTGCTTTTAATATAGCTAATTTGGTGTAAGAAACTTAGTATATTTTCCATTGATCCCAAGCTTTTCCGCACGAAATACATTTTTAAAAATTTTCCCCTTTTCTTCTCAGTGTAAATAGTTGCACTCAAATGAAAACCTTGATATTCACTAACTTAATATTAGGATGATAGTGAAAGGGGGGAAAGTAATTTTTTCTTCTCTTTTATAAACTTTGAGGTGGAATTAATTCCAAAGTAAGGGAAAAGAACCGACACAGAAATTCGATTAAATAAGGAAGTTGAATGGAAAAAAGGCAAAAAATTATCTTTTCACTCAGAGATCTTTTGTTACAAAAAATTTTTGAACTTTACTTAATTTTCTACCACGGGTGTATTTCTTCTGCCATAATTGGATTGCATTGCGGATTTAAAGCTCCTAACCAAAAACCTATCTAAAAAAAATCTTATCACATTTACTTTGTAGAGTAAAATTCAGTAACAAGAAAAATTAATTTTAAGCAAAAGGGAACAAAAATAATAACTGAAGCATAAATCTAATACTTGACTTCTTGTACAACTTTAGTTACCTTGCTTGAGCTATGCATATACTATCTGATACTTCATTTCGCTTGCCACTCCAAAATTCAACATTTAATAAGATAGAATACGGTGAATTCGTTTATTAAAGATATTGTACTTGTAGAAGAAAATCTAAAATGATGAAATATCGCTTATTTTTTCAGAATATAAGCTGATCAGTGTACGGTAAGTTGAAAGAGCATTTTTTCTTCAAAAATTTACCCAAAATTCAAAACTTGTATGTAAGCCGAATTGAAAAAAAAATTCCTGTAATTTTTAAACAATACGCCCTGAAGGTGAAAATGTTGCCCAATGGGTATATCAAGTTCAGTATTTTTCAATCAAACTCATGATAATGTAAAGCAAAACGCAAGACGACACCGATGATAGTTTTATATCTGGTAACCCTATCATTCTTTCTATTTAATTGTAATCTTGTGCAATACCCGTACTAAACTTGTTTTTCTGCGCCATTTTTTTTAAATGAGCAAAAAAAGAAATCAGTATACACGGTAAACCCCAGGCAGGGGCGTATACAACCTACCCCCTACAGAAGAGGTATGTGTACGCCACTAACTACATGTGATCGCGTCTGATGAAAGTTTTAATAAAAGTATGGCGGCTCAGCATTTCTCTGCCTATGATAAACAAGTTCGAGAATGGATGAAAAAGTATCTTGAATTAAGGGATATATCAATTGTTGACTTATGTTTCATGCCAAAGGAAAAACTCGCTGCATGATCTCGTGCATTCAGAGATCCCAATTAATGAATATGAATTTTACGAATTATTCGGAAACTCGAATTCTGACTGTGACTGTGAAAGTCATGTGACTGACCCTTCTCCTTTTAAAACAAAAGTTTCATTCAAAATATCCAAAAATGAAAGATGAAAATCCCAAAGATAAAAATCGCTTGTTCATACCTAAATTAAAATATTTAAGAAACCTTTAGCCGCCCATCCGGTTTAGCGGTTATCCCGTCCGCCTAGTGTAAGTAGCTATCCGGTTAGTCCGGTATAGTGACGCTGTCTGTGGGGGCATAGGGCCTGGGTTCGAATCCCGGAGAAGGCATGGATGTTTGTAAATGTATAGTGCCTTCGCGTCATGGGGGTACTCTAAATAGCCGTCAAACCGTAGTCCTCTCGTGAGGTTGAAGCAAAATAGTACTGTCACCTGCATGGTGCTCAAAGCTACGGATAACGAAGGCGTAAAACTCTACCCCTTAGCCTCGCTGGATTTCGTGGACCTTGATCTGATGTTTCTCTCGATCAGGCGGCATAAGCAACAACAAAAAAAATCGTTTTTCTTACCCTACGTTTTTCCCCAAAAATTAGCAGATCCCCATATAAGCCGATCGCCTTACTTTAACTTTAAAAAGTTCTGAAAAAAGTCTTAAACTAGGAATTATACTGTAATTGAAAAACTATTTTCTGTTTAACGGGTTTTTCTTTTTAACAATTTTTTTTTCTTTATATCATTTCGTTTCGCAGACTTAGTGTACTTTGAACAGTAAAATCGATGCCCTCATTTTTTCTCCTTTTTTAAAATGAATATCTTACGGGTATGCAATTTATAAAATAATTTTTCATTCTTCGACAGTTACAAACAATAATGTATGTTATCAATTTTTAAAAAGTAAATATCTCAACAATACTTTTAAAGTTTGATAAGAGGAGGAAAGCTTTGAGATTAGCGTATCTATATATGCGTCAGAAATCCGGTGGCGTCACTACCCCGACAGTTTTGCATAAATTTCAGGCATTCGTACTTTTTCGGATGAAGCCATGAATAATAATTCAAATCTCCAATGATTAAAAAGTAAGTATCCGTATTCTATTTTCTTTCTACATATATCAAGAGTTTATTCTTTTTAAGCTATAAAATCTATTGGCTTTCATTCCTAGCCATATGTTTCATTATCAAATTTTACACACAACCAAGCTTTACAAAGTGATTACGTATTCGCGTTCTTAATCAACGATACTATACATCTTACTGTAAGAAATTAAGGGAAATTTTTTTTGCAAACAGTACACTAATTTTACGAAATTTTTTTAAATTTTTTTCACTAGTGTCTTTTTTAAAGAAATAACAAGTGATATCGCTATTAATAAGTAGACTACGTGTTTAAAAGTAAGGGTCTTCAATGCGGGGCACGCGAGCTACGAATGGCCCGCTGAAGGTATTTTAGTGGCCTCCCATTTGAATTTGGGCAATTTCAGAAAAAATAATTGCCTTGTCTACTTTTCGTCGTAAATATCGCCATTTTTTATGATATTCTTGATAGTTGAAACATTTCATTGATGTGTTTGATATCTATTTGAGATAAAACTTTCTGAAAATGACGAATTTTTCAAAAATTTCAAGTTTTCTTAAATAGTAATAATCTTAATTTATCTTAATAATATATTTAAAAATTCACTTTATCTTAAATATAAAAAAATTGGATATGCATAAAATCTCAGAAACTTTCAGAAAAAGGTGGACTTATCTTTAAGTTTTGCAAAAGTATCTTAATTCAACTTCTATTTCACTTTTTTGAAACTAATACATATATATATATACAAATCTATTAACACCATCTCTTCCCTTAGAGTCCGTTGTTGTCTTGTAAAACAAACCTCCCTTTTTTCAATTCCTACCACTAGTTCACTCTCTCCTTACATATATATATATATATATATATATATATATATATATATATATATACATACATATTACATATATATATTATATATATATATACATATATATTATACATACATATATATATTGTTCAAATTTTCAACCGTTAGTAGTTTATATGCATCCATTCAAATATAAATACATTTATTAAAACTTGTATTTGATGACACATTAATACAGTTTTTTAAAATATTAATTAGTTAATTAAATTTAATTAATGAATAAATAGTAACAAACAAAAATAATAGACCGACAGCATATATAGAAAGGAAAATTGTTTATTGCGTCCCTGTAGCGCAATGGACAGCGCGTTGGACTCCAAATCCAAAGGTCATGGGTCCGAATTCCACGTGGGATGGCCTAATTTCTGAGAATGTGATTTCTTTTTTTACTATACTATTTTATTTGAACAATTAAATTTAATTTATAAATAAATAGTAACAAACAAACAAAAAAATATTCCAACGCCCTATATAGAAAAGAAAATCATTATTATGTCACTTAATATTGTAATTCTGTCATGTGTATATACATATTTATATTAATTGTAACTGTTTAGTAAAAAGTAACTAAAATAAAAATTTTCTTTGTTGACCTAAGTAGGAATTGACTTTAAAAAATTCTTTTTTTATTTTACTTGTTTAATATAAATTTCTTGACTATTTATGAGAAAGGTTGAAGACCCCTATTCTAAAGAATTACTTTTTATTTTTCATTTTAAGAGGACTTGGTACCCCAAAAACCACAAATCTATTGTTTTTTTTTTATTTTCATTTAATCTTATTCTTTGCATTATTATCTTTCGATTGATATATCACTTGTGCATGTCGGAAAGTTAGAAGTTGAATAAAACTTCATTTGAAAACAAATTAGGCAATTCAGCCCCACCCCTTTTTAGAAAAAAAAGCTAAAAAATGCGTTATGATAAAAAAAAATCTATTTTATAAATAGAAATAATAACTATAAAAAAGAATGTGTAGTATTAAAATCAGAATATTTCCGAGGCAATACAATAATATAATTTTTCTTCCTTGTGAAATGTGTGCATGTAAAATTTTTAAATTAAGGCATTTTATATTAATAATTTTATATAATTTCAGTTCTTATTCCTGATATATTTTTCATACAAATATAATACTTTAATGTAATACTGTAATACTTTAATATTATTAATATAAGAAGAAAAACAGCTAAAATTTCTGTCGTGACAGAAAAAAATTTTTTTTTTTTTTCTTGAGTTTTCTTGTGCAATTAGTACTCTCTAAAAGTTGATCATTTATAAAAATGTGTGGGTTGAAAACATATGAAAATGCAATTATTTTAAAGAAAAACGTATAAGTAATATCTTAAAGTGGTATTTTAAGTTTAATTAAGCTTATAATAATTATTTTTTCAGAATTATAAACTTTAAAGTGGTTTTTCTCAGTTTGGGTTTTTCGAAACCTTAGTGCACAATTATTTATCAATCACTTCCACTTTTTTCCTGCGTGTTAAAAATAAAGCATGTAATAAAATTATGGATCCGTTTTGCTATAAACTGAATACTTTTCTTTAAAAAAATAAAATGTAAGATATGTTGGCTTTTTCTTTGATTTTTAGCCTGTATATCAACATTTTATTTTTTTCTCGAAAACGAATAAAGTTATTGTAAAATTGATCCCTAAAGTTGTTTAGAACATCCATAAGAATATTATAAAAAAAATTTCAAGTCAAAAAATTAATTTTTACAAAAGCTGTAGGATTTTAAAATTTTCCCAATTTTCTGCAAGGAATTTAAAATTTTAAAATTGTGTGAATAATATGTGAAAAATTTCATTTCTTATCATTTTCTTGAATAGAAACATTGTATAAAAAGCTAAAATATAATTTTTAAATACATAAATAAAGAAAGTTGTTCAAAGGGTACCAAGTTCCCTTAAATATTGTTAAAAATAGCCCATAAAGTGTAGATTATGTCTCCAAAAGCTAAAATATTTATACTTATTAGAGCACGTTTTAACATTTTATGCTGATTTATGCATTACATCATTAAGGTATCCGACTAAGTTCGGAACCGTGATTTTGCAAAAGCTTATAAATGGATAATATTTATGATATTCAGTGCCACCTAGATTAGAAAACGTATATAAAATTGTTTTAAGAATATTTTATTACGATAAAAAATTATTTAAGTACAATATTTTAGCATAAAATGAATTTAGAATGACCCATTTTCAAAATATTCTCCTTTTGTGAAAAATTCTTCCATTATAATAATAGTTTGCCTGTATATAGCTCAGAAAAACATATAACTGAGAAGTGGATTTATCCATATTTTACTACAATAGAGGGGAGAAATTTTAAGAAAAAAACACCGATAATTATTTCAGTTGGTGATAACTCTGAAAATAATGTGAATTTTTCAAAAATCCTAGTTGAGACTCTCTGGAGAAGTCTTTACTTTAAGCAAAATATCATTATTATAGAAGCATTTACTATAAAAGGAGAACGTTTTGAAAAAAAGGCTATTTTCTAAGTTAATTTTTTGTCAAAATATTATATTTAAATAATTTTTTTAGTCACATAATGTCCTTAAAACAATATTTTATACATTATTCTAATCTAAGTGACACTAAATATCATGAAAATTCCCCATTTATGCGCTTTTTTAAAATCACGGTTCCGAACGTAGTCGGATACCTTAATAATAAGACTTTTTTTTTTAAAGTTAGCCTTTTTTGGGGGAGGTATGCAGAAGTAGGGCAATTTCCTTAGATTTTTTTTAATGTAAATTTTCGGAAATTTTTACAAATTTTTAAAATGTGCTATTTAAAATTAGTATGCATTTGATCCTTCTTCGGAGATCTCTCGTTTTCTAAAATATTTGCGTAAGTACATCCATTGAACACTAATGAACCAGTATGTGGTCTGTGAAAACACAATTCTAGTTACTATTTTAAATAAAGAATTAACAACCTAATGTTTAAGATTACTTCCAATTATTATATAAATTTCATTTCAAGAGACTCCAGTTATCTAAAATATTTTTTTTCCAAAAAATCTAAATAATTTTTTCAAGCTTTTCAGATAATTTCTGTTCCAGTTCTATTAGTAAATATTCGAAGAAATTATATTAAAAAACCATTTTTAATTTATATTTAGATTAATCATAAAAACATTTATGAACTTAAAAATATTTAGAAATTAAATTTTTTAATTCATAATTATGCAACTCTTTTTTGCATTTTTTTTATTAATTGCTGATATCTTTATGAAGAAAAAAATGTAATATATATGTTTTTAATTAATATTTGTTAATTTCAAGAAAATTTTAGATATCTTAGAACATCTCATCAAATTTCTTGAATTTTTTTATTCTTTGAAACAATTTTATTCTTCGAAAAATTATTAAATTACCCTTCTCCAATCCTCCTTGGATATGTAAAAAATCTTTCACTTTATTAATATAAATTAATATTTTCTTAAGAGATAATCATTTGTTCATGTAATAAAAAGTATAAAATTAGATATTAAATTTCGTACAATTTACTTACTGAGTATTATATTTTTAACAAAAGATTCCCGCTTGGTTATTTTTTAATAATTCAATAATACATTAGCTGTTCTGTTCTATTGATTTATAAAATTCTTTTGATTTCCTGCAGAAATGGTTGTAGTTTGTTAGATATACAGTCGGACCTCTATTTAACGAATACCTAAACCCCGAAAAATGTTCTTTCTATGCAAAATTCGTTAAATGAAGATTCACCTTTGAATGTACTTTATAAACCAAATAAAATAAATTTTAAAATCATAAACACCATATATATATATATATATATATATATAAAGGGTGTTTTTTTCAGGTATAGAAGTTTAAGTTGGCATTACTTTCCAAGATGGCGACCGATTTGACAGCTGTCAAGTGATTTATTCTCAGTTTGGTTTTGCAATTCATCAAAATGATCATCAAGCAAGGCATAGATTCGTCGAATGGGCCCAAAACGAGATAGCCATTGTTCCCGATTTTCATAAGCGAATTTTGTTTAGCGATGAAGCGCACTTCTGGTTGAATGGCCACGTTGAATGGTCTGGTTGAAAACTGCCGCATTTGGAGTGAAGCTAATCCACAAGTGTATGTCGAAACACCCTTACATCCAGAAAAACTGACTGTTTGGTGGGCTTTATGGGCTGGTGGAATCCTTCTTCAAAAACGATGAAGGCCACAACGTTACAGTCAAAGGTGATCGGTACAGAGCCATGATTACTAACTTTTTCATTCCTGAATTGAACAATCATGATGTCCAGGAGCTGTGGTTCCAACAAGACGGCGCAACATGTCACACAGCTCGTGCCACAATCGATTTATTGAAAGACACGTTTGGTGACCGCCTAATTTCACGTTTTGGACCTGTGAATTGGCCTCCAAGATCTTGTGATTTAACACCGTTAGACTATTTTCTGTAAGGCTATGTAAAGTCATTGGTCTATGCGGATAAGCCACAAACGCTTGACCATTTGGAAGACAACATTCGCCGTGTTATTGCCGATATACGGCCACAAACGTTGGAAAAAGTCATCGAAAATTGGACGTCCAGATTGGACTACATCCGAGCCAGCCGTGGCAGTCCTATGCCAGAAATCATATTTAAAATGTAATGCCACAAGATTATCTTTCGAATAAAAAAAATTCATGTCAATCGAATAATACATCGTTGTTTTATTGCAATTTAAAGTTCTATACCTCTAAAAAAAACACCCTTTATAATATAAATGCGAAAGTATATATATATGTTTGGTAGTCTTTCACGGAAAAACAACTGAATGGATTTTAATGAAACTTTACCATAATATAGCTTATACATCAGAATAACACATAGACTATTATACTCTATAAAGATATTGTGTGAAATTTCCAAAATATAATGATAATTGTCAAGATATTAGGAAAAAACTCTGCCATCTGCAAAAAAGCCCGTGACAGCATATATTTATCCTTTTATGTGTGAAGAAACTCTTTTTGTTTTGTCTACGTCATGCCCCAGAGCGTGTTCACTTTTAATTTATTCTGTTGATCAGTGTAATCACTATTTTTTTTATTTTATAATAAAACTAGATTTCGAAGGGAGAAGTGGTGGCAAGATTTTAACATAAAATAAATACAGCAGAAAGTAATAATAATGTATTACCCTTCCAAATATTTTTCTCTTTTATTGCTACTTCTTAAGCAAACGGTATGTCACAATTATTTGCTAAATAAACATTTTTTTAATCCATTTTCTTATTTTAAAACCTAAGAAAATTATTGTTAAAATAATGAATATGTTAGTTTTGTATAATATACTTTTTTTCCCGTTGAATACATGTTTAAATAATTTA